AAAATTGATTCAGTAATGGAATCCTCATTTGTACCAATAATGTTCTCTTTCATTTTGTTACAGATTTGTGTCTTGAGTTCTTTCTCTTTCTGTCTCTGCACTTTACTGCTGTGTATGTTTGTCGTGTGTTTAATTAAAGGAGTATTCTTTAAAAGTCTGTGCGAGTCCTTCCTGCCCTGTGATTCATGTTTATATTCACATTTATGTATTATTAAGTGTAAACTAAAAGTTAACTAAACTATTCAGAATATGTCAATGGCAAAGTAATGAAGGAACTCCTAACTTGATGTTTAAACATTTTGGTTCGATATGTGATACTGAGTGTTGATATAAGTCAGAGATTTTAATTTTAGATTTCTTATGACTTGATAGTTATACATCAGAAATATAAAAATGTATCGTAAAGAGAGGTCATTAACGGCTTTAAGTGTGTGAAGGCTGAAGGGCTTTGAAAATGTTCTAAATCCATTGAATAAATTAGTGCAAAGTAATAAAAATATCATGGTGTACTCTTAAAGAGGACATAAGAGAGGCATGACTAGTAAGCTTCAACATTAACATCTAAGATTCTAAGAAAAGTGCTTGTCTAATGCATTACATAGCGAAACATGACTGAAGATGATCACAAACTTGAGCATTTATGACCCCCGACCTCCCCCGGGGGGGGGAACATTTAATAATAATGTCTTTCATCTGAGCAGCGTGCAAAGAGGGAATCAGCAACGGGCCGACATGGAAAATAGAGCAGAGCAGCTGACACTCACGTTCTGGTAGGGGCCGACCAGGAAGCGGTGATGAACGTATCTCTCCACCAGACTCGTCTTCCCCACACTCTCCTTTCCCAGCATCACCACTTTAGCATCCACACGCATTGCACTCATAGTAACTGGGACAGGAAATGCACAGGACGGGGTCAACAGAAGAACAAAAAAGAGGGGGAGGGGGAGTTAATGAAAATGTGCTGTGTGGCAAAAAGACAGCAAATGAACTACAATACTAACGATGGCATGAATACTATTTCAACTGAGAATTACAAAACACTCCTTAAAAATGTTTTGCCATCTGTATTATCTATTGTGTTTGAATATGAAGGATTTATTGTCACACTTAAGAGGACAAGAGGCAACTGAACTACACAACTTGAACATTGTTTTATAGATTTCATTCTTATGGAATCAAACTATCATGAACACAATCGAGCCTCTCCTCTTAACTGTGAGTTAGGACTGACACAGAGGAATATGTCAACAACAAACAGGCCAGCTGAGATGTTAAACACAGAGACTGAAAAAGTACAAAGAATGCATACTTTAAAAGTAGCAGCAATACCTCTGAGAATAAATACTGAGCTGGACTGCACATGGACTGTGAACACTGTAATATTTTCATGAACCCACTCAGGGACTTGGATTTCACTTTGTGATTTTGAATGTAACTTGTGCTGTTTTTATGTTCTGTCTTCTACGAGCTGATTGTGATGTGAGGATTTCTGAGCTTTCACTGAAAGACAAATTTCCATTCAAATGAATCTTATCTTACTGTAACAGAAGTAAAGGTCACGTATTGTGTTTGTCCTATTACCTTTGTGCACCTCATATGTTAAGGAATTAAAATAATATATCTGCAAAGTAGCTTGTAAGTTTCATTTCATTTTTTTTTTGTTTTTTTGTATTTGTTCCGTACATCTAAAGAACAACAAAAAAGGAAAAAAACAATTCACACTTTATCCCATGTACGGAAAGGAGCAGGGAGAAGAAGAATTCTTGTTTTGCCTGCCCCCCCTTACTCAAAAAGCAAACAATAAACATCTGGATGGTCTGTCCAATTACAGTCAGTGAATGAATATCATGCCAACATAAAACAAATCTGACAATTCAGTCTTTACTTCCTCAGAAAGTAGAAGGAAAACACACACAAAACAAACTAACTGCCACTTTCATACCGTCTGATAACTTTGTTCTTGTACATTTTCTGAAACTGAAATATCTGAACACAGCCCTTCAAGTCATTATCTAAAGAATTCCACAATTTAATTCCAATGATAGAAACACACTTCTGTTTTAAAGTTGTCAACGCAAACTGATGCTTAAAATGAAATGTCTATTTTCAGCTACCTATTGTAAGATGAACTATAATTCATTATAATGATTTATTCTGTGATCTAGCTCAATAGGCAAAGTTACCGTTACCTAATGATCTAATACATTTAGTTAGGTTAATGTTATAATAGTTGGATCTGAGTTGTCAGTTTGATTTTAATTGTAAACAAGTCTAACACTGTATTGGAAAACAAGAACATCAGAACTAAAGTATAAAGTGTTGTAACATAAATAATAAATACATGAATATGACAAAAAGGTAAACAATATTTAAGATGTGGCTGACAAAGCACTTAATAATAATAATAATAATAATAATAATGAAACCTTTTCGAGGGGGAAATAGTCACAAAGCTGTAAATGACTAAAACAAAGTCAGCACAAAAACAAACGATTGAATTGAATTAAAATAAACATGTTGTTGTTGTTGTTGTTGTTGTTATTCACTTTATAATCTGGTTTTGCGCTAAATATGAAAGCGAAACTGAAAACGTTACATGTTATGTTCGTACTGTACCGTACTGTACTTTAAATGAAAACAAAATGTTGTTTAAATCTCATGTAAGGTACAAACATGTCATCACTGTTAGCCTCACGTTAGCTCACCTAGCTCACTTCAGCACAACCACAGAAACAGACAGAAACAAAACTCACCTGCTGGCTGACTCAACGAGTCTTTGTAAACATCTGATCCACACGAAGCAGGGGCCAAAGCCGAGGCTGTCAACCCGGTTTTCAAGTACAGACGGTAGCAGTCAAATCGCTTGTCATCTCTGCCCAGCCTCAGCTCAGCTCCAGCTGCAGCGGGGACTGTCTGCCGCTGTGGCGCAACAACCCAGATAACGTCAATAACGTACAACAAAAAGCGTCATAAAAGCCTTGTGGCAGTCACTTATGTTTGTCTTAAAAAAAGATTCAACGCAGACGGAGGTCAGCCGACTGAAGAGAGGACTCTCAAAACGTTTCTGAGGGGAAGAAATCTTCATCTGAGCTTTGTTTGTTTGGGTTGGAACTAAAATCATAACAGAGTCTGTTTCCAGGAACCGGAAGTGCCCAAATGACATGACACAATTTCGGATGTTGTTTTTTGTTGCTGTTGTTTTTTTGTTAAGATTATTTTATCAATTTTCAATGACAAAAACATGTACATCTTATACATTCACATGCACGCATAGATTTGTTTAATATTTTATAAAAGTATTTATTTTTTAATATATATATTCAGGTCTAATTACAGATTTGTTTATAGGTTTATAGGTTCTTGTTTAAATGTCACATATATTTTTATCCACAAGATATTTTTTTGTTTATTAAAAGGTTTACTCAAACTGTATATTCTTCAGTATATTTATTTATTATCTAAATGTATTGATCTGATTTTTAAACATTGCTGTACATATATAAACAACACAACTTCAGAAGGTCAACACATACAAAAAATGTTTATACAAACTCTTAAAGAGGATGAACATACAACAGCAAAAAAAAACACAGGAACAAGTTAATTCAAACATAAATCAAGACTAGGGGGGGTTATATATAAAAATAAATAAATAAAAATCAAACTTTTCCAAAAGAAAACATCAGGCAAATGTACGCAGACAACAAACTGGAGCAAGGACAAAAAAAAAAATCAACAAGGGCAAGAATTTCGATAAGTCAGCACTAATCTTTCTAGCGATCCTGCTAGATTTAATTTTTATCAGAGATAAGAAAAAATATTTGAAATCATTTATAAACCAGTCAAAGGAGGGTTTGCTGTTTCTCCACTTACTACAGTGAATATTATGGAAGCCTATTTCCGCCAGTTAAAAAAATAAAAATGAAAACTTGGCTTTGTTGAGATTTGAAATTATGAGATAATGAAGTCATAATAATGAGATAAAAAGTCAAAATAATTAGATAAAAAGTCAGGGACAACATCTACTACCGTGAAGCCTACACAATAACTGTGTGGTACATTGACAGTTAAACGGTCAATGCTACTTAAACAGTAATGTAATGTGTTTAGTTTTAACGACAACCAGATTAAAAGAAAAACTATTTATCATGCATCTAACGTTTATTACATTTGGCAGAATTAGGATTGCTTGAATTGCCTTGTTTAGGATTGCATGTTTGTTTTATGTTGTTGACTTTTTATCTCATCATTTTGACTTTTTATCGCATAATTATTATTTTTTATCTCATAATTTTGACTTATCTCATAATTATGACTTTATATCTCATAATTATGACTTTATATCTCATAATTATGACCTTTTATCTCATAATTTTGACTTTTTATCTCATAATTATGACTTTATATCTCATAATTATTACTTTATATCTCATAATTATGACCTTTTATCTCATAATTTTGACTTTTTATCTCATAATTATGACTTTATATCTCATAATTATTATTTTTTATCTCATAATTTTGACTTATCTCATAATTATGACTTTATATCTCATAATTATGACCTTTTATCTCATAATTTTGACCTTTTATCTCATAATTATGACTTTATATCTCACAATTATGACTTTATATCTCATAATTATGACCTTTTATCTCATAATTATGACTTTATATCTCATAATTTTGACCTTTTATCTCATAATTATTACTTATTATCTCATAATTTCGATTTTTAATGGGCAAAAAAAAATATCAACAAAGCCAAGTTTTCATTTTTAGTTTATTAACTGGCGGAAATGGGCTTCTATAATAAATGATATTTACTTGTGAGTAAAATAACATTTACCGTGTCAGGTACGATATGTTCTGAGCATAGGTTCTGAGATATCGTCACTTTTTTTTTTTTTTTGGCACGCAGCTACACAGAACCTGATTGGTCGATGCCCCTGAGAGGCTGGTGTTGTGATTGGTTCCTGTTTCATGAGCTCCACCAGTCCCACCTAACACACACACACACACGAGCGGTGAGAGAGAGCGAATCCAACATGGCTGAAGCGGAGGAAAGCGAGCTAACTTCTGGAGGAATTTTCCAGGAGATTTTCACGTCTCCTCTGAACCTGACGCTGCTGAGCCTCTGCTTGTTCCTCCTCTACAAAATCTTCCGCGGGGACAAACAGCCGGACCTCGGCGAGGTGGAGCCACAGCTGCCCAAACTGAAAAAGAGAGATTTTACCCTCGCAGATTTGAGTCCCTACGATGGACTGCAAGATCCGAGGATCCTCATGGGTGTCAACGGGAAAGTGTTCGACGTGACCCGGGGAAAGAAGTTCTACGGACCAGGTACGTGAACGTTACAGAAACTGACCCCCCCCCCCAATGACGCTGGTACGACCTGTTCCGACGTCATTAAGGGCTGCTAGCGTGAAGCAGCCATTCGTGTCAAACATTTACTATCTCTGTTATCATTAAATTAACATTATTAACAAATAGAAGTCGGAATTTGGCAGTTTTTTTTAGTTTAGCTGTAACTGGAAGCTTACGCCACACCCCCTCAAGTTTGCAAAGATCCCGTTTCACAACAGAGCAGCGACTGTAGCCTTGACGTCAGAGATCGTGTATATTTGAAGATGACTTACTCCGTAGTAGATACAAACAATATGTTTTATTGGCATACTATTTTGTGAAGCATTACGCTAATATCTGGTTTAGTTAAGCAAAAGTTAAACCAATCCAAAACGTGTAAATCATAAAATTAAAGGAAAAATCTGAGAAAACAAGAAGCCTTTGTTAATGTAGGTAAAGATACTTCTACATGTAGGCAAAGGCTGTTTAAAGTTGGTGTTTGTATGTCTGTTTGAGTGCATTAGCTTATGTCAATGTTGTTTTATGTGTTTGTTTGTGTTAGTGTTTCAAGTGTCATGTCTTTTCTTCTTACTAATTAGGAGAAAAGACCAAATGCAAGATACAAGCAGCAAAGGTCTTTTCTCCTAATTAGTAGGAGAGTTTTTCTCTTAAGTCTGTTTGTTTTTAAAGTAAATAACTCTGATGCAGTCATGTTTTTATGACTGTGCAATGAAAGGCAGCCTGACCCTGGAGGACATTTTACAGTTAAGTTTTGCATCAAGAGATGAGAAAAAAAACACATCCAGTAAGATGTATGGAAATATTTATAACACAATAGTAAAGATTAAAAAAATAAATAAAAAAAAATGCTTTCAGCAGGTTATTCAAAAAGAGAAGGAGCTGAATCTATAAAACAAAATGGTTTACTTTAATATCTGTTTAATGAAGTTAAAACTCTGAAATAAGAATCTGCCTTGTCACGCTACATAGTGATTCCTGGAATCAGATGCCGTGTGAGACCTCGTGTTTTTTTTTAACATATCTCAGACGGTTACCTCTGTTGCCTGTAACCTCTGACCAACATGATAACTCACTGTCATGCAAACGTTTTCACTGTACTGCTGCACACTCACACTGCACAAATAAATATATCAGATGAGAATTTTCTGTCTACCAGCTACCTGCCGTATTGTGAACTGAATGGTGAATAATTTGTTGTTAATACAAATTAAAAACACCCTTAAATAATCACTATTAATTTTTTAAAGCTCTTAACCATTTGGAGAAAACCAAGCTGTGTCTGTTGCAGCATGCAAACAAAACTAAAAGTATAAGTTTCAGTTAAATACATGTCGTACAATAGCGGATTTAGCGGTTTTCCTGTGAAGTATAAAATGAGCAGGGATGTTGGTCGTTTCTTGCTTCCTGAACGGGGAATAAAGGCTCTCTATGCCCAGCTTCACATCAGGCTACTAGAGAGAACCTCCCGTGTAAAAGAGAAGTCCATCTTCAGTAGTTTGTTTGCGTTACTGTTGCTGGTGTTGTGTTGCTTGCATGTAACAGAGTGTTCTCTTTGTGTCTCGACTTTATTGCAGAGGGGCCGTACGGAGTGTTTGCAGGCAAAGACGCGTCCAGAGGTTTGGCCACGTTCTGCCTGGATAAGGAGGCTCTGAAGAACGAACATGACGACCTGTCCGACCTGAACGCCATGCAGCAGGAGAGCCTGTCTGAGTGGGAGTCTCAGTTCACCTGTGAGTGTGTGAATCAAGTTGTACCGCTCGAATTATTCTCACAGTCTTGTGGATGAAATGTCTCTGGAATATATTTGAAGGGAATGTCTACAAAGAATCCACTAGGTCTCATGGATGCGAGGTTATCGTCGTTATGGTTTAAGTTGAAATACTCAGCAGCAGATGGATTCATCTTTACCTGGGTGAAAGTTGAGTCTCTGCCTTCACTTGTTGGCCTCTCTGTCCCATCACGAGAACCCCCCTGTCCCGTTTGGATCCAACTGCTGCTTAGCAAAGTAACATGACATGCTTGAAAGTACTCGCGCTGGTTCAGCCAGCAGGGGTGTATCCAGACTGTTTTGATTTGGGTGGCCCAGCTGTTTTCAGGCTTGAATTTATTTATTTTTCTCCTCTGTTGCAGTTAAGTACGACTATGTGGGCAAGCTCCTGAAGCCGGGCGAGGAGCCCACGGAGTACACCGACGACGAGGAAGGAAAGGACAAAAAGACAGACTAGAAGCTGAAACGTGACCAAGAAGGAAACACAGATAGATGCCTTAATGTTTCTGTGAAGTTTCGATGCCTCCCGTTAAAACCATTTCAAACATTCTCATATTTTTGGACCATCATGATACTGGATTTTACAAGCTGACTGAATTGATTAATGTAAATTTAAAGGGCAATAACAATGATATAAATATACACCACATACTGATGTAGAGGCGTATAGTGCTGTTAGAGTTTAAATCCTGTCAACTTGATCCTCAGATTGACTTGTTAACGGACCAATTCCAGCATATAAGGAAGTGACCGATGGTCGAACGCGCTATCAGGAGAACTGTTTTTAATATCCGCAGCTCTGTTGTAAACTTTGTTCATATCACTGAAGTTCGTATTGCAGGTTGTACACATTCCTTCACAAGGGTCGGCTCAGCTCACAATGAAATGAATCATCTCAGGAAGTAGTGTGGTTTAAAGTGAAAAAATAAAATAACGGACTGGAGCCAGAGGACGGATTCAAATAGAAATAAAAATGCTGTATTTTTTTTTCCAACCTTGGTGTAACTATCAAAACTCACCCTGTGCTGATCACAGGTCTCGCTAACTGTGCACTAGCTATCTCTATTATTAGAATCAGGGACTTTTTTTTGTCTCTTATGATTTTATTCAACATATCAAATTAAGTATATTACAAAAATACAAAAATAAATGAGGCATAAAGCATGCAGAAAGATTCATAGTTGATTGAAGGAAACAACAAGGGACAAAGAAGAAAGGAGGCAGCTTCTATAAAAAAAAAAACAACCACCAAGGCACCCCGTGTAGGACACTAAATTAAAGTCAATAACACCAGTACTCTAAGTTAGAGCAAGAAGCATGGGCCTGTTTCACTATTTAGTACAAACGTACATTTACCATGAATCATTAGAAACCTTCGTCTGTGAGAGCCAGCTCACTTAACTGTCCAAAACAAAACGTTCTCAAAAAATTCTTTCACTTTCTGTCGGACTCTCAGATCAGCCTTTGTGCCGATCCCCTCAAGTCCTTTACAGTCGTATCCCTTTTTGTATGTAGAGCACACGTGTTATGATGTAGTGCAAAAATGATATTGTACAATGAAATAGGAGCAGGTGCTGCACATACAGTCGACACTAAAGTATCCCTCACACCTTTGTGGCGCTGATATTCAATTTGTGTCCACCAAAACACTAAAAGAAAATAACACCGCAAGTGGCTCTGAGCCTCTACAATGAAAACAGCAAGAGTTATAATGACCAACCCTCAGGACAGAAATAATGATTATAATAAACTCCAGTCTAACAGTTGAAACAGCTGCAGCACCGCTTACTGAACAGAGAGCAGATGAGCTGATGTAAAAAAATCTTCAGAGTTGAACACTGTCTGCTCACACACATGAACAGATCTGTACAGAACATTTCTACGAGTCAAATCCCTCTGACTTCACTCACCTTTGTTTAACGTTTTTCTGCTCTTAATACAGTAAGATGAAGATGACATACAGATGTTTGTATCATTTAACACCATCCACTGTATCTGCTTATCTCAGCCTCCCGTCCAATAACACACTTGATGTTTTTAATTAACAGGTTTTATTCAGTTTTATCTGAAACTTTTACGACGAAATGACAATCGATGTTATTGTACCAAGAGGCCCACAGTGGTGAGGTCGTGTGATGTCAAGTATCAGACATTTGACAGTAACTTTTTAATCAGTGAACTATTAAAAAAAGTCAAAATATATATAACCAGTGTTGAGTTTTAGTGTCTCACATGAGAATGTTTTGCTGCTCTTCTTTTCTCAATAGAAGCTGAATTACTTCAGATTTGGGGCTGTAGGTCAGGAGAGTCATGTGTAATGATTTTTATCCAGGGGAAAAAAAGAAAATGACAGAATACAAGGCTCCTTATTCATGTACAGCGATGTGTCCCACTGCTGTAGTTCATTAGACAGTGAGTAGAGGAGATGTCACAAAGTTCATAGTTCAAAGATAAAGTGTTGAATGAAAGACTAGAGAGTCTGAACTGAAGCCAGTTAATGTTATTTTACAGTTTCTTCATTTCTGTTATTCACATTTTCAGCACTAAATCATCAATTTAAACACTTACTGAAAGTTCAGAGCTTCTCTCAGAGGACTCTGAAGCACAGAACGTGTCGAGGTTCAGAGGTTTAAAAGGTTTTTACCACACAGTTTGATTTAACCCTGAACATGAGGGCATTCAGTCGAACATTAGTTAGATAATAACACACGTTTAAATGCCCCCTCCAAGCGTTAATCTGCAATATTTAACGGTCTAAGACTACAAATGAAAAGACCTTGACATTCACAATTGTGTTTATAAAATTCTGCAGAAACTGTTTTGTTCATGTTCACTTTGAACTTTGACGTTAAGTGGAAGAAGTTTCTATTTTTCTGACTAAAGAAACTTTGCTATGTGAAAACATCTGTTTGTATTTTTTCTGAACCACAACTGTTAGTCTCCCTAAAACATGTTTAATGAGGGAACAGCTTCATAATGTACAAACGCAAGCGAAGTGTCATAATACTTTTTGCTTAAAAATGAAGTTTTGATTTAATAAAGAAAACTGTAGAATGAAGCCTGTCAGCATTTCATTTCAATACCTTTATAAGAGTTGTGTTGACTATAGGGACAGATTTATTAAATTCAATATATACAGTACATAAGGAAATCTAGGAATACGTAGAATTACTCTTGTTTTTATTTGATTCTCTTTTATTTTTATTTTTAAATACTTGTTTGTGAGTGGGGGGTTGCCTTTTATTGACAGGGCAGTGGATAGAGTGGAAACCAGGGAGAGAGAGAGAGAGAGTGGGTATTGACATGCAGGAAGGGAGTCACAACCTGACTTGAACCCAGGCCACCCGCTCAGAGGACTATAGCCTCCTACATGGTGCGCGACGTAATCGCTAATCCATCTGAGCCCCTATTTGATGCTTTTTAGTAGGCTACATGTGAAACCTGAAGCAAGTGCCTTCAAGAAACTTGGTGAGCCTTTTCAGTTTCTTAGGATGTACCAGTGAGACCACATACTGATGTGAGTAACATTACTGCATTGTTCTCCTCTTACTCCCATCCTGCTGTTTTTACAAATCTGCAGTCATGAGTATGTAAAGCAAAAAAAATCTAAAATCAAAAATGAACTTGAAATAGTATCCAGCCCTGTTTTCCTTTCAAGTTTTCTCTAGACAGTTCACAGAAATGTATTTGTCCACTTTCCCAGTACTTGAATGACAACAAGTTCAGTTTATTGGCTGTATGCCTTCAAGATATGTGACTGTTAAACTGTGCTGTCTATGTACAGGCATTAAACAATTAACTAATATCTAAGCCATTATTGCAGTAGTGAGGAGTGCAAAGACAGCTGAAACATGATAATAAATTATGTTATTATGTAACAGATGAGTTAATTTTCAGTATAGACTTTTTTTTACAGTAATTACATTGAGCAGTGTGCACAGATTGATGTCACATGAGGAGGGTACTAATATGGAACGTGATTTTATTGTGTTTAAAATGAAGATAAATAATCTTTAATAATAAAGATAATAAGTTCCCAGTGGCTGAGATAGTGATACTGTAATCACTGATAGATTATTAAAGCATCTCCCATCACAGACTTCAAAAAGGTTTAATAAAGGTCCAACTCTTTTTTTTTTTGAAGATTTTTAAAATTGCTTATGTACGTAGCAAAATTTATTTTTGTAACTACAGCTTCTTTTTCTTGTGTTTCTGTTTCTTGATAAACAATGAAGAAGTAAAAAGTTGATGTCAGAAGTGGGATTCGAACCCACGCCTCCATTCGGAGACCAGAAGTCCCGGTTAATCGGAAGGATTTGATCCTTGAGTCTGGCGCCTTAGACCACTCGGCCATCCTGACACGATGCTAAAATACACCACCAGCAGACTTTATAACATTAAATTCACCAAATATTTTTATTTTTACAGGATGTTACGATTGAGGCATGAATAGATGTTTAGTTTGTCTCTATATTATGAAGTCGTTTTATCTCTTACATGACGTTTTTCACGACATACTGAAACTTGCTTCCTTCATGTTGACACTACGCATGCGCGACTCTTCGGTTACTTCCGCTGTGACTACGTGCGGCGGCCATATTAACGTTTTACTCACATCTTCAAGGGTAACTGAAACAACCCAGGCTAAGCAACATGTACCGGTTTGCTAAAGCTGCAGTGAACCTCTCAGGTAAGGAAACCCCCCCCCCTTTACAGGAATGTGTATTGTTTATGTATTTGCTGTAGGTAGAAGTTTAATTGGAGTCGGTTTCATGTTTTTACAGACGAGCTCAGTGTGTGACCGCGTTTAGCCTGTTAGCATCAGCAGCTAGCATTAGCAATCCTGCAGGAGTCGTGTTACGTCTTCAATCACTTATTCCTCTTATTCCTGTTTAATTTGAGTTTAATTATCACATGCAAGCTGAAGCAGATTGAGTTTTAATTGCACAATCTGTCTTTAGAAGCAGCCTGTTTAAATAGCTTGTTTGTTTTTTATATCTTGATGTCAAACTGTCTGACATGTAAAACGTGTTTTTAATGGGATAACTTGTGTTTAATTCTTATTTTCTTCTTGAGAAGTAAAGCAAACATCAGATGCTTTAAGAAATAGGATGAGCTAAACTCTCCAGCTGATGTCCATGACATTGTACCATGTGATAAATAGAGGACGGTCAAAAGAGGACATGGTATTAAACTTAATAACATAACACACACACACACACGTACACACACACACACATATATGTATGTATATATATATATATATATATATGTATATGTTTGAACTCGGACTCAGTAATGTTTTCAGACGCTTCTTTAGTATCACCATTATTTATTATAAATATTTATAATATATTAGTTATTTATTTATTATGATTTTAAGAAAGGACAACATTTCACTACTCAAAGATGTGTGCAGACATCCATTGATATCTGAACAAAATTTGATAACAGCTTTTATCTAATTGCACGTTTCATTTAGTACTTTTATAATGTTTGTCCAGCCTATAAATGTCTTTTATGAGTTTACAATATATTTCTCAGTGTTAAGGAAGTCATACAAGGTTAATGTGCAGCTGTATGCACAAGTTCATCATGGCACTATAAGGACAAAATGTGTAATGATAACATGTTAAACTTTATGTCTGTGTTACACTGAATATTCTGACTACATTTTTGTCAAAACTGCAGCTCAGCTGATCTATTTTTCTATTTTTTTAAATTGATCTATTCTTAATTTTACTTTTTTATTTAAATTGTACTGTGTTCACTTTCTGTTTGCAATCTTGACTCTTTGCTGCTGTAACAATGTAAATTTCCCCGTTGTGGGATAAATAAAGGATTATCTTATGTTATGATGAGATCAAATCAAACCATGTCACATGCACAGATCATAAAGACAAATGATTTATAAGAAAGTTGATATTTGTGTTGTCTTGTAATCTGTTATTATTTTCTCTATAGAAGTGGCAAATTCAGATTTCCAAACATTGAGAAGGACAGATAATCTTGATCCAGTTTTGTGACATGATCAGCACTATTATAGCTGTATCTTGAATTGTTTTATTTCCCTGGGAATATTCATATTTGTGTTAGTCATTTTGTCCTTTTGAAGAAAACTTCAAACCCCAGTATAGGGCACAATAATAACACAAGTTAGTCATAGTGCAGTCTGTTTTGATGGTCATAACCATAAATACTGTGTTTGATTGTTGTCCAGGTCAGGCCACAAGGCAGGTGAGGCATGGATCCTTTGTCGCCTCAAACTTCCACGTCAAATACGGCAACGGGTTGATGGTCGGTGGAGCGGCCTTCTGCACAGCTGTGTGGGCATACGTAAGCAGTGTTTCCCTTTGTTGCCACATCATAATAATTTTTATGTAAGATCTGAAAAGATGTTTTCTCACAATGTGGTGCATATAAATGTCACAAAAATGTATATTGTGATGTCTGTAAATGTTGAAGAAAAGAACAATACACATATACTTCCACATTATACACACAAGGCTAACAACAGGGAACTTGAAATTATCAGTATTTTATAATTCTCCTCCTTATTGATCAATGAACGGGTACTTTAAACAACACAAACTTAAGAAACATAGAGCTGACAATTTCAACTGAGCTCAATATATGAGAATCTTTATCAAACAAAAAAAACTTGCAGTGACCCCACTCCTAAATAAAGAATTTAAATGGTTGAGTTATTTCAGAAAACAAACATATTTAAATAAATGCACACTGCTGTGTCAGATATCATCAAATACAAAGGCCAGATGTACCAGTGTAGTGTCTTCAGCTAAATCTGGCATTGTTCAGACTAAAAGACCTTACTTACTTCTTGATCTTGTAGATGCAGATGGTGTCATTGCCCTTTAAAAACGTTTGTCCCGTCTCTGTGCAGGTGCTGACTCAGACTGGCATCACCTGGAATCTGTCGCCTATTGGGAAGGTGATGCCCAAAGAGTGGAGAGAGCCCGAGTCTGAAGAGTAAAAAGCCGCCATGACAAACCAATCTCTCACCTCCTAATAAACTTTCTGGTTGTACAGATGAATGACAATTATCTGCATGTTCTGACAGCAGATTCCTGTGTTTATTTCAACATGTTACTTTGTCCAAATAAATTAAGTATGATTCTATTGAGCCGTGTTTCTTGTTTGTGGACACGGTAGCTTCCAATTTGTCCTTCACACCTTTCCCTCATGCTTCGGTAAGTCTGGTTCCTCAAACTAATATTCTATTAATAATCATTGTAATCTATACACGTTTGATAATGGAAGGAGTTAGATGATAACAGAGGGGAAATATTTGAATTATCTATAAAAAGCAAATGGAAACCGAACAAATGTTGCTTTTAGAAATGTTGACACCCTAAAGTTTGATGATGGCATTTTTGCTCTTGTTTGTGTACAACTCAAATCATGACCTTGGAACAGATTACCCACCTTGGTGAGAACAATCCCAAAACAAAATCCACAGAATGAAAACAAAGCAAAACAAAATGCAAAAACTACAATCTTTCCCATTATATATTTTTAATCTTTTTCACACTAGGTTTAAAAAAAAAAAAAAACCTAAAGTTTATTTAAACTCTGAAAGTAAATGTGTGTTTTGTGGTTATATTTACATTCTCTTATTGTACCTGGGAAGTAACTAGGGATTGTAGTTATCAAATCATTGTGGTTGTGCAGGAAATATAAAATAAAAGGTCAAAACTCAAGTAGCCTGAAGTATAAATACCAGACTGAGTTCTTGAGTAAATGTACTTATCATTTGTCATCAAGTAGGGTGAACAGTTCAACCAGTGAGAAGGACTTAATTGTATTTAAGACGTGAATACATGAAGTTTCTATATATTCAGACCAATGACTGATTTTGTAATAAACTTTAATTAACTTTATAAAAATGTACACAGTATACCACAGTATAATGATACATGTTTAAAACTACAAAAAGGTACCTCAATAATAAACATTCGAAACAGACATTATACAGATAAAATAATTCATATAAAACAAAATCAAAGAAGCCAGGGGACAAAAATAACATAAAAGGTAAATTTAGTTTAATACAACCTTAATTGGAGGCACACACAGTTTTGATAGCTTTTTTTTAAAATTTTGGTTGAAGGAATAGTTTTCATAAATCATTTTTTTCTGAAAAAGAGAAAAGTGGGGTAAATTTACATTTATGACTGTAAGACTTTTCTGGAAATAAAGTTAGATTTATAATAAAATATTCATTTATGTGTCACACTGAAATTCTAATGGCCAAAAAAAAAAACATTTTCCAGGTGAAGCTTAAAATAAATAAAAATTCTAAATAACACCCTAGAAAAGATGAAAAACTCAGAAGGCAATCATTGACTGAGAGTAACAGAGGGTAAGACTCTTACGTCATAAGAACAGACAACAATAAGAACCAATGAAATGCGGATCTGTGTTCTCCTCGGAGCCAATCAGCAGCGGGGGTGTGCTCTGTCCCGCCCTGCCGGTGTTCCTCCGCGCTGCACTAAGGTCACTGCTGTCATTCGGTCGCTCTCTAGCCGAAGCAAAGAAGCGGAGGACACCCAGCCAGGAAGGTGCAGGAAAGACCAAACAAAACAAGCAACATGTCTCTGTCTAACAAACTCACACTGGACAAGGTGGACGTGAAGGGGAAGAGGGTCGTCATGAGGTGAGCCTTTAAAGCCTAGCTGTATTATTTAACGTTAGATAGCGACCTGACACTTTGGAGAGGTTTTGTTCATCAAACATATCTGAACTGCTCCGTGCTCAAGCAGCTTTAATCGCTGTGTGAAAACACGATTGTCAGAGATGAATATGACTCAGAAAAGACTATTTTGCAGAAGACAGGAAGTGAACTTGCTGGCTGTCACGTTTTCCAGTCATGTTACGTTTACGTGCCTGTGAGGAGATGCAGCATGGATGAAACCGGCTGCATCCGTCGGTCATTCTCCTTTAAACACAGAAGCATTACTGCAATAATTAAATGTATTATATTGTTACGTTGCGTCACACATTTGTCACTAACTGCGTTAATTATATGAGAAAATTCAGTAGTCATTTAGTATCCTCCCCCTTTTTTAAACAATTAATTAATTAATTGGTTACGTCATCTATTAATTATGCTTATAAAAGTGATTCAAACACTGAAAGTGTGCTCTCTATCCGAGCCCTCAGGGACTCAAAACAAGGCTAACGTGGTGTCAAATAAAGAACTAAAAAATTGAACTATTATTTGTTTAAACATGGAAATAATGTGATAAATAAAATGCTTTAAAATGCTGGTAAAGCCATTTATCTGTATGTTTCCAGAGTCTGATTGAACATCTGATCATTGCCTGTTTTTTTTTTTTAATTCAAGAGTCCAACCTAGGGCTGTGTGATATCAACCAAAACTCTAATATATATCAATATGTATTTTATTAACAGTGAAAACACATGGAAAAATAAACTACCTGTTTGTGAATTTAAAAGGTAATATTATAAAATAAAAATGTTCCTTAAATACAATAAAAGAGAGAGAGAGGGGGAGGAGGGTTAAGAGGGACAGACAGTCATCATCAGTGAGATGAGAAAAAAGGAGACCTGGCACCTCTGTAACGTTATTTTAATGCAACATAAACTATATCGATATTAACGATATTGTCTTACCCTAGATCTTGTTTGGAACTATATCGATATATCTTATATTTCCCAGCCCTAGTCCAACCCCAAATGAAGAAATACAATGGTACATAGTCTTCACTATTGAACATTTTTTATGCCGATAATAATACTTCCAGATTAATTAATATTTAATTGAGCATTCTTTTTAGATTTAGTTGCAATCATCATCTTTATTGCAGTATCAATTGGGAGAAGAGCCACAACAGTGAATCTTTGGTTATTCTTCCAAAGAGGAATCATGTCATTTTGTATTTAGTGGTCATTGGACAGATTCTGCTGAGGTCTGATTTAGCGTCTTGCTCGAAGGCATTGCAGTCCACAGAGGTTTTAATCCCCTGAAGTACAATCTCTTTACCTGGAAGGACGTCCTGCCGCCTGGCTGTGCAGAACCTGAACTCATGTCGGAGTAATAGAAAGTCCTTCAAATGCATCATGGGTATTTTATCATTATAGAATATATTCATGTCATTTACTTGCCTCCAGATTGTGAAGGCTAAAGAGGATGGGAGTGCACTTGAAACTGACACCCTGTGTGGAAATGTCAGGGAGTAGTGATGCAATGACAAGCAGCATAGGACAAGGTTCACCAGCACCAGACCCCAGCTCACTGTGCTGCGTGCTAAAAGGTCAACTTTGCTCCAAGTTGAGTTTTTCTGTGTTAAGAGACTTACAATTAGACGATAAGTGGCCTCATATCACACCCTGCCTGGGCCTGTTATAGCTTGCAGTCTGTCTTGTTTTATTTCCAGCTTCAGAGCTTGCAGAGGAGTGTCTTATGTGAGCTGCTGGTCCAGAATTTAAAAAGGGGAAAGGCAGGACGTTGCTGTAGAGATCCAGCAGCGTGCTGCCTGAATTCTTTTCAGCTGCCAAATCCTGCAGGAAGTGTTTTTCTGTAGAGGCATCATATACACTCATCCTTCTTGTTAGCATGTAGCTCACTGTAAGGTGTCAGGGTTACAGGTGTAAAGTCCTTTCTTAGAGACACAAAGCTTATTTTAATACATAGAGGCAGCTAAAGGTCAGTGTCACTGCCTGGATCCCAGATAAATGACAATAGAAGAAAAAGATGTTGGTGGTGTGAAGCCTATTTTTTAGCTACTATAGACAAAAATGGTTCTTAATAATAAACTTTGTTCCCTCTTTGATCATCACATTTAGCTCTGAATGATGCAGCAAAAATGTAATGTTCTGCCCATGCAGACGAGAGAGCAGCAACAGGTGGAAAATCACAAAAGCAAAAACCGACTGTAGTTACTGGATGACTGAGCATTGTCTGTGTACAGGAGCCGTTGAGCGGCTGAACTGCTGACTGCAGGGATCCAGATTAAGACAATGGACGGCTGTTATTATGGCAGAGGATGAAGTGTGTGTGTGTGTGTGTGTGTGTGTGCATGCTGATCATGTGTGTCAGTGTATCAGGGTCTCAGTGGGAGAGGAGGGAGGTGGTTACGTAACTGAGTGAAGTACGAGGGATGCAGCATGTTCTCAGGAGCTGAGAGCGTGCATCGCTGCTACCAGCTCATTGGGCAGGGCAACACAAGAGACACGATGCTGCCATTTTAATGCAAGCCTGAACATGTCAATGTACACTTTAGTTTCTAATGATGCACATGATCACACAGGGAGCACAATGCAACACAGTAAACCCAACATTGTTTTTTTTTTTTTTATGTGTATTTAGTTTAAAAATTGACACCTTAAATGGATGCAGTTGCTCTTACAGTCCACAGATGCAGAAAGTAAAATGGCTTTATCTTACATAAGATGTTAAAAATGCTGATGATGTTGGACTTTGTTTGATCACAAGCTGAGGAATACCAAACATTTTTTTAAATTTGAGGGTAATGTGGAAAATTACAACGCCAAAATGACTTGAAATGCTTTAAAAATGTCACTACTGTTGTGTTTCTTTCTACTAATATCGCTTTTTTCCCTCTTTCAGGGTTGACTTCAACGTTCCAATGAAGGACAAGCAGATCACAAACAACCAGAGGTACGACTCATCCTATGTCTCTTCTGTTACTAATAATCAAAGTCTCGCAGCAAAAGGTGCTTAGTTATTTTCATGAAACAACAGTTTAATAAAAAGTGAATTATTAGAGAATTCTATTTCTTTTTCAGGGTCAAAGCAGCCGTTCCCAGCATCCAGCACTGCCTGGACAACGGGGCCAAGTCAGTGGTCCTGATGAGCCACCTGGGCCGTCCTGACGGAAACGCCATGCCAGAGAAATACTCCCTGGAGCCTGTCGCCGCTGAGCTCAAGAGCCTGCTGGGGAAGTGAGTGGATGGACTGAAACTTTTGATTTTGAGCGTTCAGTATGTTTAAGCAGATAAATCAAGTAACGCACTCAGGAACAGTCAGAGTTTTGAATTATTGAAACTAAACTTAGGCAAGCTTCTCTGTCAGGCAGCGTAACGCAGAGCATCAGGGTGAGCGTATCACTTTGTCTCTGTTGTGGTTTCATGTGATTACAAGAAGACAGAGCTTACTCTGTTAAGATTGTAATAAGATCAGTCGGTCAGAAAGCCTCACTGTGACTCCGCAGGGACGTCACCTTCCTGAAGGACTGTGTGGGTGGAGAGGTGGAAGCCGCCTGCGCTAACCCCGCCGCTGGGTCCGTCATCCTGCTGGAGAACCTCCGCTTCCACGTGGCAGAGGAGGGGAAGGGCAAGGACGCCTCCGGAAACAAGGTGAGACACAGCTAAAGACGTCTGGCCAATGATGTGTAGAAGTTATCCAAAGGGATGGGGATCATTCATTTGTATAATTTATTGAAACCTTTTCAAGACTCCTTACACATCCGAGTCTTTATCTATGCTACTATAGATTCTTTCCAACGAGCCATTTGACTGGACATACAGGAAAAAACCCAACCACGGTGCAAACTGTGTAAATGTATATAAGGCACTAACTTAGTCAAAAGATGGTGCTCCAGTGTGTCGATTTAAAGTCCTTTGACTTTGTCACAGATGCTTCTTGTTGCTGAGTTTGAGTTAAAAGTAAAAAGTGTCATCAGTGCAAAGAGTCTGGTTTTTACACATACGCATTGATTTGAAGATTTGCATCAGGGCATCAGCAGTATAACTGTTAGATATAAAAGATGGAATTACGACCTCCTAACATGACCTCTAATCAGCTAATAATATATTTTATGTTGCATATAAAGCTAAAAAACAATGTGACGTGTAAAAACGTGTCACATCCTAAACGGCTACAGAGTCGACTTGTGATCATTTAGAATCTTTTTTTTAACATTTGAGTTGTTTCTATCATGAAAAAGTTAAATGACAAACTCTAATGCACAGATTCTCGGTCTCCTCCAATAAGAAAATATGCAGATCAAGTATGATCAGTTTCAAGTGATGTTATTCTAAATAGATTTCATGGACTTAAATCTCTTACTTTTATAACCATGCTAGAGATGGTCCTCTACCTGTCAGAGAGAGCAGCAGACCCCTCAGTATTGTTTCTCAAAGCTGGGTCACCTGGAAGAAAAACACAAAGTCACTGCAGCTGCAGCGTCCCTTTGAAGAAAGCTGAGTCACCGTCTGATGATGTCATGGTCAAGAGCTGCAGAGACTCCTATGTTCAAACTACTGTAGTGCATCATTTAATATCCTCTTATTTGATTTGCAGCATTTTTATACCAAATAGTGTCTTTATATATTTAACAGTTGTAGATCTTAACATTCACAAGTCTTGTGAATTAACCCTTTAAAGCACGGCCCCTGTCAATCACAGTGATTCACAAGTGTCAGAATCCTAATAGACTGTTTAAAATTAAAAGATTTGCTGTTTATTATTCAGGAAATAGTGAATGAGAGTGAGAGAGTCGGCCTCAAATACTCTGGCATTTATAGAAAAGTGTAAAAACTTAAATACGTGTCTATGAAGTTTAAGATTTACTGAATGTTTGGGAGGTGACGCTTTGCATTTTAACGTTTTTCAGAAGCTTCTGATGCTTAAAAATATGCTCTAAATGTTTTTCAAATTCAGACATTTGATCATTGATTTATTTAAGTCTGTATAACAAGTTTGTCAGTATAATTGAAATGAACAGACACCTGACCTCTGAGCAGAAACACAGGATGTCAGGCCGCTCTGTGATCTGCTGCTAAACTCCACTGAGCTTGTTTCTTGGTTATTCTAAATAAACTTAAACACTGAGATGAGCGATCACACATTAGTGCAGTGATACGTGTTTGTGATGCTGAATCCAGACAGGGAACAAACATTAGCTCTGCTTGTTTCTTTGGAGGAGCCTCATGTGTAAAGTAAAAACTGAGTGAAGTGAATTAAAATAATAATAATAAAGTGGTCGCTTTGAAATGTTTGAATATCTGTCCGACACGCGTAGCTTTTGGAAAACTCGTCTTCTAACTGAAAGCATCTCTTCTGTTTCGTATCAAAGAAGAGATTTGACATGTGACTGCTGACCAAAGGTGTCGTTCTCATTGATTTATTCTGTGTTTTACAAAAAGTACATTTTGTGAGTAAGGCTTCATACTAGACGTGTGTCAGTGTGGATCCCAGAGGTTTGCTGTGGTTCAGCTGCTCTGACCCGCTGACATTTATCCTGAAGGTCAGCGGGGTAGTCCCGCTTGGACCTGTTGCTTTTCCTGTCCTGAGAGGCCTGGTTGGTATGCAGAGTGTCAGTGTGTCAGTGTGTGTGTGTGTGTGTACACGGGGTGGGTTACTACTGTACTGCTGCACTGTACCAGTGAGGAAAGTTTAACTTTGGTTTATTTTACAAACACTTTGAAGTGATGGAGGCAGAAACAGAATAAGTCACTACTTAGATTCCAGCCTTTGTTCCATTTAAAGTTTGTTCTAGCTCCATAAGATGATGTTACTTCAAACTGATAAAGAAACACCTTTGTTGTCTTTGAAAATAGATTTATTTCATGTTAAGTTTTTAGTCCTTTCTGACTTGTTACTAGTTCTGAACTGTCTATAATCTGACTCGTGGACAGAAGGGTTAAATGTCTGGAGCAGGACTGAAGCGTGCAGCACTCGTCTGACATTTGAACGACACTGAAGAGCTCTCTTGACCTTTTTGTTCCCCTCCAGGAACACAGTCACGACTTTGACCTGTTAAAGTGCAGCATTAACCTGATCCACCATGACTCGTATAGTCAACATATTCTTTAATAGATGCATCTTAGAGAACTCAACTTTTGCAGGCAGTAAGCCTCGGATGAAGTGTTCTCATGTTTACATTTTTACAGATGCTCCTTTTTTAGCATAAGCATGTCATTGCAAACAGAGGTTTAAAGGCTCCCAGCTCATGTTTGGTACTAAATAATCATGACTTTGTAATTGTATGAATGAGTACACACGTGTGTTTAAGAGACTTTATTTGAAGGCAAAGGAATTAAGCCCTTGAATAGGCTGACAATGTCACGAGCGGCTCAAAGCCAGACAAATGGGAAAAACAGGTTCACGTTTATTCACAACCACATTAATTAACCAATTTAACAAAAGGAACGAGGAGCATAGGGGAGCAGCCTCTCTCTCTCTCCTCTCTCCGAAGTGGGGCCTGCTTTCATGGATTGGAGAACGCCGGGCCCAGTTGTTTTCCAATACATGATTCAGCCACACCCACCTGGCACCCGAAACTCACAAACAGCCAACCAGCAAAACCAGCAACCAGCAGGGTCATCACAGGCAGCTAGTTTGTGTTCATGAGTTCACTGAATGCCAAATAATCCAATACATTCCAACAGATTTCTTGAAGTAAAATGAAAACATCTTTATATTCATAAATGCTGAACACCTGGAAAGCCTTTTTGGAACCATGCTGGTGCTGCTTACTAGTCGTGGTTTTAAAAAAATGATGCCATGTGAGGCACGTTAAAGGAACTTTCTCCATCCTCCTCTCTCCTGCTCTTACTCTTTCCTGTCTGATTTGTGTCCCTCAGACCAAAGCCTCCCAGGCGGAGATCGACTCCTTCAGGGCGTCTCTGTCCAAACTCGGAGATGTTTATGTCAACGATGCTTTTGGCACGGCTCACAGAGCCCACAGGTGAGCCGGCTGTCTGTTAAAGCGATGAATAATGCGGGACAAGAGCCGTTATACTTTAAAAAGAGGTTTTAAACTGAACTCTCCTTCTCCCCTTGTGTTGTCAGCTCCATGGTGGGAGTGAATCTGCCTCAGAAGGCGGCCGGTTTCCTGATGAAGAAGGAGCTGGACTACTTCGCCATGGCTCTGGAGAAACCTCAGAGGCCCTTCCTGGCCATCCTCGGAGGGTGAGAAAAGCTCATTACGACGATTCATCAAATCTGAACTTCAGCCTGTAAACGGCCGTGCATTAAAACAATGCAGGGGGGGGCGTTGTGGTTAGTAAGCAGGCCCCATGTATGGAGGCTGTAGTCCTTCAAGTCTCACTAAACACACCTCAGAGACCCCTATCTGGACAATAATCTTTAACCTCTTCTCTGTTTTACATAAAAACTGATTCCAGCACTAACAAGTAGTTTCTGCTGCTCCTGTAAACAAAACTAGGGTTAAATACCTCTTTTTTTTTTTTATGAAATGCCTTTTTTAAAAAGAGTTTTCAGCTGATAAGACTTGTCCTTTCCCTCTGCTGCAGTGTTGGTATCATCACACTGCAGCTGCTTCTTAAAACACCCTGGTGGACGTCCAGGAATAGAGACAATAAGCTCCTTATGTAATCGCTGGTGTGACTGTGCGCTTCCTTTCTTTAAGAGGAACACTGAGCACTAAGTCCGGAGCCGGCTGGAAGAGATGAGAGGTCAAATACAGATTGCCTTTTTTTAGTTTGTATTAATTTAATTAATTTCCATTTTGCTTGCTGGGCAGGTTTTGTAGGTTAAAGTTACGGTTTGGTTGAAATTCACCATCTTCATAAATAATAACAGATCAGCTCAAGTTTTCAGACTTCTTTAAAACAAATCAAAAACTACAAAAGCTAAAATAAACCTTAGATCTCACTCGTATTTTTAACAAAATGTTGCAGTGATATGGAAAAATTAAACGTTGTTCGATTGTTACAATTAAAGTATCATATCAAAGTTTATAATTGTGTTCAAAAAGTGAAAAAACTTAATCCACTCTTTTATATCCAACAGGACTACAGTAATGACAGCGTGCTCAGATTGACAGCTTTCTGTTTTACAGGAACTTTCCCACGTTCAGTTAGGATTCTGAATACTTGAAATAAGTGTAACCAATAAGAAAAAGATCCCAGATAATAACCACACCTGTTATTTGTTGGTACACGCTGTTCCATTGTTTAAAAAAAAGGAAACACAGAGTGAAGCTGCACTAACAAACACACGAGCTGTCACTTAGCACATGTGAGATTTGGCCTCGAGTCAGAGTCCATTTAAGTGCATTGTGCAACTCTCTCCATCTTCATCCAATCACGTCGTTGCAGCTCTCAGACAAAGTACATCGGTCATTAATGTTTAATGATAAGTCAGTGAACGCACCACGTTCATTTGACCGCAGTGAAACAAACGCATCATGTGTTTAGAGGTATAGGAAATTGTCTTCAATCATTTGTCGATTTAATTTTTAGTTAGATTTATTACAATGTATAGATCTATTCAATAATCTGTTATTTTGGGCACTAATCTGAGATATATAGGATACTTAGATTAACTCTTTTTTTTACTGCTCTTCATCATGTAGGTGTTATAAAGTCCTTGTGTTGAGTTTTGTTAGAGCAGCCGAGCTCAGACATTTAATTGAAAGTATAAGTCAGTGCAGAACTCTCCGCACAAATCCGTCTCAGCCGGTTTCCTGTCTTTCCTGATGCGTTCCTCGTCTCTCTCTCTCTCTCTCTGTTCCAGAGCGAAGGTGAAGGATAAGATCCAGCTGATCAACAACATGTTGGATCAAGTCAATGAGATGATCATCGGCGGCGGCATGGCCTTCACCTTCCTCAAAGTCCTCAACAACATGGAGGTGAGGAAGACGACGCAGAGAACACAAGGGTCACTGAGAGAACATTCAAATTAATCACAAAGAATCTGTGAAAGACGCCCGATCAATCACTTCATACTGGAAACAGTTATGTAAAAGGTCTGTTTATTCACTCGACCTTTATTTAATCCAGAGAAATCATCGAGGGCTCATTCACACAGATGTCCAGAGGAGGAGAACATTCAAAACGAATAGTTACAGGATGCAGCTTTTTAAGATAATTTTTGGGGGCATTTTCCCTTTTATTAGATTGGACAGCTGAAGAGAGACGGGAAATGTTGGGAGGAGAGAGAGGGGGATGAGATGCAGCAAAGGGCCGAGGTCGTATCGAGCTCACGGCCAATGCAGCAAGGACTGCAGCCTCTGTACACGGGGCGTGTGACATAACCGCTAGGCTACCGGCGCCTCCACAGGATGCAACTTTCCTGACTTTCCTTTTCACTCTCTGTGCTCTTTTAGCAACATTTAATTCAACATCTGGAGAAAATTTTGAGCAAAATGAAACTGTAAACAACTAAAAACAAAGCTGAAAGAGAGTGAATGTCTGACTCACATTCAACAGGTAAAAACATTTATTATAGCAGCTTTCATCTTGAATCATTTTACATCCAAATAGCCTGTTATAAATACAGATTTGAAAACAGGTGATGCTCTCTGTTGAACCTTTTTTTTTTTTCCACTGAGAGGGTGAGAACGTATTTTGAATGCAGCGTAAAAAGTTCTGAGGTGTTTCATAAGTTCTGTTTCATCACCACTTGCTGTTGAACGTTAGTGGTGTTCAAACAGACTTATTGTGAAACTGCTTTGTTCCTCAGTCTCACAGCAGAGACCATAAAGTCACGTTCATTACCCGAGTCTGACCTCTGAGAAACAAAAAGATAAGAAATGACAAACTCTTTGTGGAGGAATATTGTGCCTGCTGTGTTCAGTGTAATGTTTCCTCTTCTTTCTTTTTTTTTTTAGCCCAGTAAAGTAAATTCCATCAACCTTCATTTTACTGGTCTGGAGGCAGGAATCTCAAACTCTGCTAACCTTCAATCACAAACAAATCAAACAAAGCTATCTGCATGGCTACAGGGGGAGTGTGGACATGTGGCCTTTTGTAGTTGTTAGAATGTGCTGACCCACCTCTAACAAAAGCTGGTCCTTTCAAATCTGAGTTCAAATGGAGGTTATGTCAGTGATTGTGTTATTCAGTCTACATTCAACAGCCCTGATTATCAAAAACAAAGACAGCCTTTTTTGTACCTATCACTTTTACCAATAAAATCTGTCTCCTTTTTAAAGGAGGTTCAGGCCCACACAAAGGACACCTTTCACATGGCGAAATCAAATGACAAAAAAAGTCAACGAGGAAATGCAAATGTGACCAAGAAATGTTTAAATCTCAGAAGAATTCTTAACACTGTGTTGCTTAAAGAAGCAGAGACGTTTTCTTAATATCAGTGGGAACCAGAATTGAAATCTTATTGTTGCAGTCTGTCTGCACCTGAAGTGTTTCCACCTTCATGAAAAGTACTCTCAGTCTCAGTGAATATTTTCTCTCCAAATACAGTTTTATTTATTCATTTTTGTACTTCCCTCTCGCTCTCTTGTCAGATCGGTACTTCTCTGTACGACGAGGAGGGAGCCGGCATCGTGAAGGACCTGATGGCCAAAGCTGAGAAGAACGGCGTCAAGATCACGCTGCCCGTCGACTTCATCACTGCCGACAAGTTTGACGAGAACGCCACTACAGGCGTTGCAAAGGTCGCTGATGGCATCCCCGCCGGCTGGATGGTGAGAAAGCAGATCTATCCTGCACCATGAGGAGGAATTAAAGGTTGTGCTGTTCATTTTTTCTTAAATCTTTAATTCCTCTGCTTTGGTGATGATTTTCCCTGCAGGGTTTGGACTGTGGACCGGAGAGCTCAAAGGCGTACGCCGAGGCGGTGGGCAGGGCCAAGCAGATCGTGTGGAACGGGCCTGTGGGTGTGTTTGAGTGGGAAAACTTTGCCAAAGGGACAAAGAGCCTGATGGACAAAGTGGTCGAGGTGACCGCAAAAGGCTGCATCACAATCATCGGTGAGAAAACTTTTAATATTTTTAATGTTAGTTTTAGACCTTTAATCTGCCAAACAGCCCAAAAAACTTTTAAGTAGAAAGAAATGTAAAAGCACTGCAGCATTTAATGAACCCAATCCAAGTTATGACACATCTTCTTTCATCGTAATGCCTTTGAAGATTATATAACATTACTCATGTTTTTTTTGAAGCTATCACAGTAAAAATCTAACCGAGCTGTGCAGTTTAATAAACCCCTAAATCGTTTATTTTAATGATGTATTTTTGTCCAGGTGGGGGCGACACTGCCACCTGCTGTGCCAAGTGGGACACAGAAGACAAGGTCAGCCATGTGAGCACAGGAGGCGGAGCCAGCCTGGAGCTGCTGGAGGGTGAGTGACGACAAACAAAGACTGCTGAAATGACCTTTTTTTATTATTATTATTATTATTATTATTATTATTCCACTATTTCTGCGCTGAAGCTTGATAGTGATGCTGACGGTGAGTTTGTTCTCTTTGTGTCCTCAGGTAAAGTCCTGCCAGGTGTGGACGCACTGAGCAGTGCCTAAACTTCCAATCAGACCACTGCAGTGTGTGTGTGTGTGTGTGTGTGTGTGTGTGTGTGTGGACATATGTGTGAGGAAGAGTGTGTGTGTATGAGAGGTGGGTAGCTCCTCAGCCAGATTCCTGTTTACTCCTGAAAACCGACTTCATTAGCAAAAATGCCTCCACTTTACCAATCATTTAATCTGGTGTTAAGTTTTTATTCTTTAAGTTCTGACCCTCGAGGAGATCATGTCTTTACCCTCCGATGTGTCAACGCTCACTGACTGTAACACAGAGAGCCGTCTGCCTTACAGAAACTCCTCAAGTCAAGCTGCAAGTCATTGAATGACCTTTTTTTTTTTAAAGGTGAAAAATTAAGACGGAAAAAGATGAAATGGAAACTATTTTTTGCCCAGATGTTGTCCTGCTGAGTGGACGCTGAAACACAGCAGATACAGTGATACTTCCACCTAAATCTGGGTTTGAGTCCAGACTGAATCTGAGTTCAGACTGAGTGACTTGGGTTCAAACTGAGTCTGATTTAGGGTTACAATTTTGTCTGAGTCCGGGTTTGATTTGAGTCCAAATCAGGGATCCTTGAGGCTGAACATGAGGTTCAATCAGAGTCTGAATCTGGATTTGATCAGAGTTGGAACCTGGGTTTCTTTTGCTTAGTCACCCTCGGAGTGTTACACCCCATCCTGAGTGTGTACACACACATACAGTATATATATATAGTAACGGTTCATGTGAGTGTGTGTGATCTGGCTCTATCCTCTGTCCTCTTCGGTTGTTTGTCTCTGAATGGCTTCAGTCTGAAACGTCGATCTGTTCACGTTAATAAAACTGTCTCTGTGTAAAAACCTTTCTCTTACTTTTTCCTTATTGTTTTGTAAAAATATGAGAAACACAAAGTTATACTTAAGAAAAGCTACTTCATTTACATCTTCTATTTAACCATGCAGACACACAAAAATCAAAGTGGTTCAGCCATAAAGAAGAGTCTTCTGTCAATTAACATCTGGATAATCAAAGCTCATATTATGTAAGGTCAACTATTTGCTTTGTTTATTTAGACCCCTAAATACACAAAACAAACATCAGAAAATACTCCAAACACTCCCTTTGTCCATTAATTGTATAGTTGCATAGATTTATTTTCACCACTAGATGGCAGTCAACGTTTCCATCACAGTCGAGGTTCATGAGCATTTATTTCACAACATACAGCATCATCACACCGAGCGGAATTAAAACAGAAACTTTGTCAGTCTAACACAGAAACTACAGTTAGGGCCGATGTCTTCTGGCCTTGTCAGGTGCAGTTGCTATCTTCATTCACATAATCCGGCTCTGGTGACAAAAGAGGACAAATGAAGGGTTCCAATTTGTCTTAAATGTTCAAAGACACAATTTAAAGTACTAAATAATTGCATTCAAACTACTGCACAATGTCTAACATGCAAAAATCAATTTATTGGCAACTTTGTCATTGTGACACTTTGCCAGTTATTTCAATAAGACAGTGTGTTACTTTCCTTTGCACCGGTTTCATGAAATAGATGTGCAACAAATGTATTTACACTTGTGCATCAAAGCCCTACTAGTCAGTTTTAAGACAAATCAATCCTCTGATAGGGCAAATGGCCAATCACAGTTCTGGATTTTTTTTAGGGTGGCCAATCAGATTTCAAGGGGGGCCCATACCACTCTTGGTCACCCCACTGGAAATGCCTCACATTATTAAGAAACACAGAATCAACCTTTCTGTGAATTAAACAATCAAATAAATGGATCACTAACCTTCTTCTTCTTCTTCTTCTTCTTGCTCCTTGAGGAATTCAGAGTTCTCGTAGTCGTCATCGTCTGTTTGATGACAAGAGTTTGACGCTATCTCTTTCACATTTCTCACAACATCACTTAAGTTGTAAAAAATCTCATGATGAATATTAAACGAAGATTGAACTTACCATCATTTACATTTCCGTACACACATGGAGACAGATTTGTACCTAAGACAACAAAAGTCGAAGAACAAATTGATGAGCATAATTTCAATTCACAAAGAGTCTGCAGTTCACCCATTAACATGATGTGGAATATTAATTCAGAGGAAGACATTTCTCACCAGTTTCAGTCCAGTCGTTTTCATATATTATGATCGGGAGAGGAGCTCTACAAAACAAATGCACATTTGACATTGTTTAACCTTTGTTCTGTTTGATGTTAAATAATGTTAATATTTTCATTCATAACTTACAGAACCTCCTCTATTCTTAAAGGCCTGAGTTTGAGATAGTTTTTTTTTTTTTTTTAAAGGATACACAGGGATCTGGTTCTCATTGTACTTCTGTGGAGTTACAAAACAGTCGTATAAAACTAATCAGCTTTGGCAAGTTAGTTTTATAGAGCTAAGTCTACTTTCAGCTAGTTGGTGCAAAGGTTACTGATAGTTTAAAACTACTGCAGCTGTGTGCTGCAGCCAACATGTCAAATAGCAGTTTGCAGACTTACAGTGAAGGTCACACATATTGCAAAATACACTTCACCATGTTTCTCTGACACTAATATGTGTCCCTAGCCTGCCTACAAACCCCCAATTATGAGAAAAGTCCATCCTGTCCGTCTGTATCCTGCTCCACTTTTCAGAAAATATGTGCTCAAACAGGCCGTTTGGAGATTTTCCCTTCATGACATCACAAAGGGCAGTAACCCCCAGGTGGGTGACACTCCCACAGCTAGGTGTTTGTTCTGCCCTCTGAGTCTGCCTTCTCACTGTAAACAATAGGACATGGAGCAAGAAAGCCCTTCCAGAGAGGAGGCATGGTCAGACACAGCTCATTTACATTTAAAGGTACAGACACAGAAACAGCCTGTTCTGAGCAGGGCTGAAATAGAGGGGTTTATAGGCATGATCAAATACAGGATCAGAGTGGATTATTTACAAGAAGATTCACACACATGTTTTGGGGAGCTCTGAGACTTATTTAAACTGGTTGAAGAAGAGGAGAATATGTGACCTTTAAGACTAGAACCAGTGACTTTTCAGTTCCCAACTCAAGTCCCTACAGACTAAGCAACTGCTGTCCCGTCTTGTCTTGTGCAAATTCACTCATTTAGTTAAACTAGATTAAGGGCCCAGACTTTTCATCCCATTGCAGCTTATGAAAACACACTGAATTAAAGAAGCAAAAGCATATTAGACAAACATGCTGAGCACCTTTGTCCAAACATATATATCGGCCTTGTAACGATTTAGCACTACGTCATATTACCACAGCCTACACATTAAAACACATGACTTATTCTGTCCATCTGGTGAAAACAGTCTGTTTATTATGTTAGTAATGAGACTGTTTTAAAAAGCGGCGAAAATACTTACACATATGTATGTTCGGTGCATCCCGTGTGAGCTAGAGGAACACAGTATGAACCAGTTTAAATCAGTCACAGCAATGACACAGGAAATATTGATAAATATTAACACTCTTTTAATTACACATTTTCACACATTGGATTTATTGTGTACTTATATTTAAACTTACCTTCTGTGATGTTTTCATAGTTTGACTGTTCATCAATCTCTTCTGTAACAGGAGGATTCATCTTTTGTCAGTCATTAAGTTTATGTCGATAAGGCCGACGTCTGCTGTAATTGTTAAACTCATGTTGAGTTACCTTAAATATAACACAAACTTACCTGTTGCAATCTCCTCAAACTGGTTACGAGTTTCCCTGAAAAAAATAAACATGCATGAAAAGAGTTAATGAAATACTTAACACTTAAAGTCAGTATCGTTCTGTATCTCATGTATTTAATCTGTACACCATTAGACGTGTAAATTTTAGTTTTAAAAGGAGTAATGTGCTTATTTCTTTATCTTTTTTTCGTAAAGGAACTGGACTACAAAAATGGCCCCCATTCAAATGTGTGTAATTTTATTCCTGGCATCTAAGCCAAAACTGTTTCTGTAAGTCTAACTAGAAGTAGAAAATGTGTAATTTCTTAAATAACAGCAGGAGAAGAATGTAAAATTACACCTATGATAAATGGGCTTGAGCTCTTCTAGTCATCTGACTTCTCAAAGCGCTTTTCACACTAACACGTTCACACACTGATGGCAGAGGCTGCGACGTAAAGAGACCATCAGAAGTAACTAATCACACAGCAACCTGGGGTTAACTGTTTCTCCCAAGGACACATTGGAGATGTAGCTGAAGGAGCTGAAGATTGAACCCCCAACCTTTCAGTTCAGAAACAACTGACTCTACCACTGAGCCACAGCTGCACTAATGATGAGAAGTGTTTATGTGATTCCTGAAGCAACATGTGTGTGTGTAGCTTATCAAATCATAAATCAGTAACTCTCATTCACAGTGCTGCTAATGAAACAATCAAATAACGACATAACCACACAATCAAAATATGTGAGGAGTTTTGTTTTTTTAAACTAAATTTAGGAAAACACTTTTGTATGTTACAAAAAGATGTACAGAAGAAGCTCTCTTTGATAACAACAGTGAAAGACATCTTTACTATTGTTCAATTTGCATTAATTAATATTTACATATTTGTTGTTTTCAATTAAGAACAAAAAGTTATTTGAACAAGGAGTAAAGGTCATTAAGTTTTTACAAAACCTTTTTGCAATAAATAATACATCAGCCAATAACCAGCCATGTGTTAGAGGGGTTCTGCAACTGAAAGAGAACTTGAAGACATAGATAATAATTGCAGTAATGATGTGATGTGTACGTACACAGTGGGTGTAGTTATCTGATTGGTTTTGGTGACTGAAAGAAAAAGCAACAAAAATTAAGTTAAAGTTAGTAAAAGATAAAATAAGATCAGCATGTGGACCAAATGACAAAGAAACTCTTTTAGTTGGTTGAGTTTACCAGCGGTCGTTTATTCTACTTTACCTGTTTTTGATCGTGTCACAGCGAACCTGCTCCCCCCACGCTGGCTGTGTCAGGAACATGTCAGTATTATTAAAGAGGAAGTGAAGTTACTTCTGTGGTTTTAAGATCAAAGTTAACATTTCATAAAAGACAACATTTGAACAGTAACAAAGCGAACAACACATTTCACAAACGTGCATTATTATCATGTTTGACTGCCAAAAAGGAAAGAGAGAGAGCACTTTTTGAAAATAAGCCACATTTTGGTACCTTTGCATTGCCAATGCACTCGTGAATTTGTATTTATTTTTTATTTTTTTCGTTTTGTTTTTCTTGATTGGATGGGACAGCGGACGAGAGAAAGTAAATGTTAAAAGGGCGCAGAGTGGGCGATGACTTTCAACAAAGGGCAGAGGTCAGATTTGAACCCACAGCTGCTGCAATGAAAACCACATCCTCTGTACACGGGGCATTCGACGTACAGTAACCGTTAGGCGTAGGCTGTCAGCGCTCCCCATTTGTGAAATTTAGACAGTGTGAAGCAGTTTGCCGGAATTTTTGGTAATCAAAAACAAGAAATTAAGCCAATATTGTAGGACATGTATTTTTGTTGCCATGGTATCGAAACAGGTGTCCATATCGTTAGATTTTTGAATAAAAGCATGGAGCAGCTGAGACTCAGTGGAAGAGTTGGTCTCTTAACCAGAAGGCCCGGGTTTGATCCCCAGCTCCTGTGTCATTGGGCAAGACCAAGTTGCTCCGTTGCTTCATCAGCAGTGTATGAATCGTTTTTTTTAATACTGATGGACACCTTACATAGAAACCTCTGCCATCAGTGTGTGAATGTGTAGGTGTGACCTGCAGTGTCAAAGCACTGAGTGGTCAGGAGACTAGAAATGCGCTATGTAAGCTCAAGTCCAATAAGCATTAATCTTGGAGGTAGCTAATGAGGATCCAAAAAGGTA